CAAGCATATTTCTGTGATGAATATTACAGTAAAGTGAAATGATTTTCAACCCCAATCTTGCATGAGGGTTCAATGGTGACGAAACATTTTCACAGAAAACTTTTTTTCTTCCATTTAGAGTCAAGACTAACAGATTATATTTGTTCCCTACCACCACCACCACACTCTATATAATTTTATCAGGTTTCACTGTTAAATGGTTTGGTATCACTTTATTCTTGTCCTTTTTGTGGTGAAATAATTTTACATTAAAAATACATATGAAGTATAAAATATTATTACAAATCATCATATACCCCAAATCCACTTTAAGAAATGGAACTGTACTAATTCCATTTAGTAAGGCACATGGTGGTCAACTGGAGATTCTATTTTCTAGCCTCTTGTGCAGCTAGTTGTAGTCATGTGATTATATATAGTTTTACAGCGGTTGCACATTTCTCTAAACAATATATTATTTAGTTTTACATGTGTGAATAGTTAAAATGTTGCCATGTTTTCTGTGATCTTTCATTTTTTGCTTTCATACTCAATATTATGTTTTTGAAATATTTCTGTGTTAATAGGCAGACATTATTTCATTCATTTCCCATTTATTTTCTCTATAAGTTCAGTTTAATGAAATTATAATATTCTATGTCATTACTATGCCTGTATGCATTGTTTTATTTCTGGACATTTGGCTTATTTCTAGTTATACATACACACACACGTATGTTATGTATATATGTATATACTGATGTGTTTGTGGTTTATGTAGATATGCAGATTACAAATATTGCTATGATTAATATTACAGTGAAGTAGAATGATTTTCAACCCCAATCTTGCATGAGGGTTCAATTGTGACTAAAAATTTTCACAGAAAACTCTTTTTTCCTTCCATTTAGAGTCAAGACTAACATAGATTATTCTTCGATACTTCCCATTGAGGGGCCCTTTTCTAAGATGATAAAATTGCTATCGTTTGATTTGGAAAATCTCAGTTATTACTTAGATTTCTCCACGGAGAAAGGAATTGGCTTATTCACTGTTGTAAATATCTAATCTGGTGCATTTTGTAGTTAGCATTGTAATTCCACTTGACATTTTGAAGCCAATTGATACTGCATAAGCAGCCTGTTGGCAATTCCTACCAAATTCTGTAGACGTTATCTGAAAATTCTGGCTGTTTAAAATTACTCCCTGCTGGAGTAATAATTACATTTTCAAATGTTGTACAAAGATTCTATGTAAATCAAAAAATTTAACACATTAAGATATGATCTTAACTTTCAGCAGTAACAATGAAATGTGCATTGTTTAGCCACAAGTTTTTAAAAAGTGCCCTTTTTGATATTATTCTGTGCATTTTAAAATCTATTTTTAGTGATTCAAGTCTATAGTAATGTAGCAAATTTTATTTTAAACATTCTTTCAAGTATGTAGCAAAAGGTGAACGCTTTTTTAAAATGTAACATTCAATTAGACTTTTGCAGTGAATTAAACACTCCATTTGCTGGTTATTAAAGCATCCCAGAGTGGTGTGAGAATTTTGGAGGTGAGGGTAATTAAAGTCCTTGAAAGATTTGGAGTCAAGTCTCAGATGGGCAGGAATTGTGACACCTGTTACTTTATGCGACACTCGATAAAAAGTAGCAGTCCTGAACATTGATTGAAGTCACTAAGGGACTTGGTTCTGTGTGTAGTAACAAGAGGAACTCGAGACCAATCTGATTTCACATACTGTCTCTATTCCTGTTACTAGATGTGTGACCATCTAATGTGTTATTAGACCTTCAGTTTTCTCACCTGTAAATGGAGAATAATACTTATTTCATAGGATATTTATGAGGATCAGTTTTAATAATAAATTTGGAAGATCTAGAATGAGCCTAGTAGCTATCAACAACAGTCATATGGCCTCCGTGACACAGCAACTAAACCAGATTATTTTTATGAAGAAGAGATATCAAAGCGCTTTTATGACAGTAGAGAGATTTTATGATGAAGCTTAAATAGATTTTAATATTTTTATATTTTGCAATAACTGTAATATAGATACAATTTATTTAGGATGAAATTGTATGTTGACCATTTGACCAAATAATGACTGTTTCTTAATGTAATATAACCAGTTTATTTTTCTTGAACCGTAGCCCTTTAGAAAGAAAATAATACAGCTAGATCCTTACTTTGTTTTAACTAAAATATAGTCCAATTGGATTAAAGATTTAAATGTTAAAATTTTTAAAGGAAGGGCAAAAGATATCAGGGAAACTTGTATATATTTTTGTGTGACAACCGTTTGACTGTGCAGGGCATAATGTCTAGACACCAGAAATAGATAGAAGGGTAAGTTGGACTGAAACCAGTGGCAAATCTGTATGAGTCTGCAGCCAACTTGATCCTGGCCTTCTTGAAGGGAAGAATTCAGCAAAAGGGAAGAAGTAGATTTAAGGCAGAGGGAGAGACCAAGGCAAGTTTTAGGAGAGAGAGTTTATTCAAATGTTTTAGACAAATATCCCCATTAAAAAGTGGGTGAAGAATGTGAACAGGCACTTCTCAAAAGGAGACATTTATGCAGCCAACAAACATATGAAAAACACCTCATCATCACTGATTATTAGAGAAATGCAAATCAAAACCATAGTGAAATACCATCTCACGCCAGTTAGAATGGCGATCATTAAAAAATCAGGATACAACAAATGCTGGAGAGGACATGGAGAAATAGGAACACTTTTACACTGTTGGTGTGAGTGTAAATTAGTTCAACCATTGTGGAAGACAGTGTGGCGATTCCTCAAGGACCTAGAAATAGAAATTCTATTTGATCCAGCAATCCCGTTACTGGGTATATACTCAAAGGATTATAAATCATCCTATTATAAGGACACATGCACACATATGTTTACTGTGGCATTGTTCACAATAGAAAAGACTAGGAACCAACCCAAATGCTCATCGATGACAGACTGGATAAAGAAAATGTGGCACATATACACCATGGAATACTATGCAGCCATTAAAAAGAATGAGTTTGTGTCCTTTGCAGGGACGTGGATGAAGCTGGAAACCATCATTCTTAGCAAACTAACACAAGAACAGAAAACCAAATACCACATGTTGTCACTCATAAGTGGGAGCTGAGGAATGAAAACACATGGATGCAGGGAGGGAAACATCACATACCAGGGCCTGTCAGGGGGTGGGGAGGTTGGGGAGGGATAGCATTAGGAGAAATACCTAATATAGATGATGGAGTAATGGATGCAGCAAACTACCATGGCATGTGTACAGCTGTGTAACAAACCTGCATGTTCTGCACACGTACCCCAGAACGTAAAATATAATTAAATAAAATTAAAAATGTTTTAGAGCAGTAGTGAAAGGCAGCAATGTACACTTGTAAGTGAGCCAAGTGGGTGACTTGAGAGATCCAAGTTCCCTGTTCAGCCCTTGACTTGGGGTTTTACACATGGGCATGGTTCTAGGGTTTCCACTTCTCTTCCCTTGATTCTTCCCTTGAGGTGGGCTGTCCACATGCATGGTGGCCTGCCAACACTAAGGAGGGGCTGCATTCACAGAATGTTTACTGAAGCTGTGCACATGTTCACTTGAGGTGCTTTTCCTTACCAGTAGAGCGTTCCCAGAGGAAGTTTATATACCATGTAAACTCCACCATTTTGCATCTTAGTGCATATGCTTGAGCCCACTCGTTCAACTCCTAAGAGTACCAGCTTCAGATGTTTTCTATCTATTGAGAGAATGTCTTTCACTGGCACTGGCTGCAGCCAATTATCATTTCAGAGAGAAAGCTTAGCAACCACCTGACCATCACCTAATGCTCGCTTGACATTTCCAGGGAGGTGGTCCTCTCCTGCACTCTTCATGTCTAACTACTTACTCTAACATGACAACAGAAACATTAAAGTTTTTAAACTGCATAAACAAATTCCAAAGTCAAGCAACAAATTTGGGACATTTTTCATGGCACCCATAATGAAAAAATGACGATTACTCTAGTATACGAAGAGTTATTCTAAATAAATTTAAAAACACTACTTTGATTTTAAAATTGACAAAATGAATAGACCAGAAAAATCAATACAAATAATAAATGTTTAAAGCACGTTCATGATTTTTATAATATGAATTAATATGTCATTTTTCAACCATCCAAATATTGGACAATACTCATTTGATAGTTTATAGTTTTGGTTTGTGTGGTGAAGCAGGCACATCTGTTCATTTGCTGGTACTGTAAGTTGCTGGAATGAAATTTGGAATCTGTATACCAAAATTTAAAATGTACATACCTCTGCCAGTAATTTATTTACTGAATAAACTCAAAGCTATGTGTATGCATTTAAGAATTTTCTTTGAAGGATTGGCCACACAGATTTTGACAAAAATCTTAGATAATCATAAATCTTCATGATAGAGAAATAGTAAAATTAATAAGATTAGTTATAGCCTTAACATAGTATCTCCTATTTTTTAAATGGCTAATAGCATACTATGTTAAGGTTATTAATGTGAAAAAGTAATAAGTAAACAGTTTTCACTGTAAACTTACATTTATGGAGAGAAAAATTATAAATGTGGAGATAGGGTACATATTAGAAATTTTTCTGGAAATAATATTTTTAAATGTTGAGAGTAGAATTAGGAATTTGAGTGTGGAATAGCAGGAAGGAAGGAATAATATCCATTAATGCTTTTCTGAACTATCTGAAAATTCTCCTATGTTTATGTTTGTTTTACTTTAATTTTTAAAAATTAATGCACTCAGTATGATAAAAATTATGTAAATTGTAAAGGACTAAGACTAAAATTAAATAAAATGTCATTAGGATCCAGCAGATTATTTTAGGTATTAAAAACATGTACAATATGCTCTTGAAAGATAACTGTCAAAATGACATTCTTGAGATGAAATGATGCATGCATTTGTGTCTAATGAGTTTTATTTTCCCCCAGACAAAGTCAAAGGAAGATCAAGAGCAGGGACTCACTTTGACTCAGCCCGGAGACGGAGTCGAGCAGTCCTTTATCACATCTCTGGGCACCTGCAAAGAAGAGAAAAGAACAAATTGAAAATAAATAACGTAGGTGGTATGTGTGTACAGGACGAATGCTAGTGTTTCCCCTGGTGGCAATGTTTGACTCACTAAAGAAAGGCCTCAATTACTCATTTATTGGCTTGCCTAGATTTTTTTCCACTTTAGTTTGTGCTTTCTATAAAGAACAAACTGGAAAAGGTCAGCAGTCATGAGGCATTTCTATAATAAAAGTGCTTAATCATAGTGTTATCACAGCCTAGAAATTAGAATATTATTGCAGTGAAGTACAATATGGTACTAGGGACACTGAAAATGGGGACACACTGGTTACATTTTATGAAACCAAATGATGCAGCAAGCCGTATTACACATTCATAGTTTGCTGGTTAAAATATCTCAAATTTGATTTTAGTTCCATCTGTTTTGCACGTTATCTAATTCTACAAATGCTTTTATCCAGGGGAACATGACCAAATCCAAGTCATTACTCCATTAAAAAATTTACATTTTATACAAAATACAGTTGAAAATTTCACAGTGAAACACTGGATTTACAATTACATGCCATACATTAAACAATTTTGGAAAAGGTCACATGTTTAGTAAGTTACAATAGAGTTCCTTTCCGAAATATGGTGTTTATCTGTCAAAGTCACAACAAATAACTATGCCTGTATAAGGTGATTCTTTCCGATTTTACATGACATATATCCTCCAGGATTTCACATTGAATTTCGTAATTGGTTGTTAGCACTAAGAGACTTCACTGAGAAACCTATGTTTAAATAGAACAATGTTTATTTAATTGTAGATATTGAAAATTTTAAAATGATGTTAATGTCATTAATTTGCCTTATGGAATCATTAGAACATATATGTGGGCTTGTGTGACAATAGGTCGCAGATTAAATACTCAACATCTAACTTGCCTAAGAAAAAAATGTCACATGAAACAGAGCTATTTTGGAATTGATGTAAGATCCAGAAGTTCTGGGAGTTAAGACAAAGAGAGGATCCTTTGGCATTTTATTTTATACCTAGCAAGCTCAGGGACTACCTAATCCGACATACACATACTTTGATAAAACAAGACCATGCATCAGACATACAAAGTATTTATTTCTCTGATTGTAGTGAAGAAAGAAAGATGTATGGACCCAGGGTAAGGGGCGAAGTCTGACATGAAAGTGATGCAAAGCTGGCTCTACTTCAATGCAAGTTTCTGGAAGCCAGTTCAAGATATTTTGAATCATTTGTCCTTCAAGGACCATCAACCATGCCCATGCTGGTCTGCCATGTACCACTGTGGAGGGTCACAGTTTCCTTTTTTTTTTTTTTTTGTTAATTCAATATAAACGTTCTCTAGGGATACCTGTGCCTGAGTCATATTGATTTCCCAGGAATCCAGGGAGAGGCTTGAAACAGTACACACCACTTGATCTATGGATCCTTCCACTGGTGCCTAGTTACATCTCCCTTCGGTTACTAAGTCAGCCTTGGTGACAGTAAGCGAGTTATAGGAAGAAACAAAGGTAACCACATCTGGGCTTGATTCCATGCAAGCCAACCAGCAAAGCACCTAAACAAATATCCCCAGATTCTGTAAGGCTGAAAGCTGACACTATCTAACTTTTAGTGGAGAATTTAAGCATAGCAAGTATTAGTGAGCTTAGAAATGCATTTGCTGAGCATGATATTTTTCCCCTTAGATTCAATAAAGTACAAAGCAGTACTTAAAAATCTAATTTAAAAAAACCATAACTCCTGCTACTTAGCTAATTTGCTTAATTGCCATTCATTTAATAAATACAAATAACAGGATGGAGCATTAAAATAATACATAGTAATTTAAGATGACTAATCAGCACAGTGACTCTAATCTGCAGGTAATACTTTACTCCTGAAGCAAAGTATGGAATCAGGACTTGCCCTGTTCACCTGTTCACTATCTCCTTTCAAGGATAACAGAATAGAATGGCTACGTGGCAGATAAAAGGGAGAAGGAAGAAGAGGAAATGAACTGTATAGTTTATTGAATAAACAACAAATTTTCTAGAAATTCTGGCTCTAATAACATTTGCACACACAAAAAAAAATTCTTAACATTCTTATAGTCCTTTACTATTTACAAATTCCTTTTACTTACATCATATTATTTGATTCTTATAGCAAGCCAGTACTAGGTCTGATTTTTATTAGTTCAATTTTAATGAAGGAAAAAGACCCAACTTATTCAAAATCTCAAAAGTTGAAGCAGCAGTTGTGGTACCCAGCCTTTAATTTTCTAATTTAGAACCACTATGCTTCTGACTCTTACCTTGCTGCATCTCAGATACAATTCTATGGAACAGGAATATATGCTTCAGCCATAGGCAAATGAACTCATCAGGTCATTAGCAGGTTTGGGAAATCAGAATACAACATATTTTAGTCTGTCTCCAACTTTGCCTGATATGCCTTGAAAAAAGTGTTTTCAAATTCTGCCTTCCTTGATTTGTTATTCTGTCAATCAAATGAGAATGCGATGATGCAGATGTTTCCAACACAAAGAAATCATTGGGTGCTTGAAAGGAGAGTGCTACAAATGCATATTTCTGGCGGGGCAGAGTGGTGAGTGGAAGAAGAGGAGCATCTATTTTTTTCACTCAGGTGACTGTGTAAACATGTTTTCAGGATTTGAGCTAACAACATTTCAAAATTTAAGTCTAAATCTCAGATGTATTCAATTCTCAGTATCTTTTTAAAATATTTTTAAAATACGTTTTAAGTAGCCTGCCAAATGAAACTATGTAATTTGTTTTCTGATTTGTACCAAAAACTAATGTATTGCTGAACTTTTGCAACAGAACAACTAATGCCTCATATAATCAGCATAATCAAAAAAACCCCAAAACTTTACTTTTTGAGTTTTCCCAAATCATTACCCCTAGACATGGATACTCCCTAAAACAATGTAAAATTTTAATTTCTGTAATATGATAGGAAAAACTTATTTGAATAGAAAATGAGGTATTTCCCATGGTTTGTGATAATTATTGTAGTAAATATTCAGGGAAAATTTGGATTAGAACCAATCATGTTATTGCAACTAGAAGTGTTTATCAATGATAAGAAAATTAATGGTTATAGACTTTAATTTCCTCTTCCAATGTAATAGCCTAAATTTTTATGAGAAGCCCGATGGGGCTACTTCATTCCTCTTCTCAGTTTTATGCCGAAGTCTACCTTTGGGACTGGTTTCTTGAAACCAAAGAATGAGGCAAAGGAGACAGGACAAATATCAGGGAATTGTATGAAACCTAGAGTCAGTGACAGATGGGCATCTAAGGACCATCTGGAAGTAGTTTAACAGTGCCCCACCACGAAGTACTGACATTATGAGATGCCCTGTGTGGGTTGAGTGCGAATATTAACAGGAAGTAGATACATGGGTTGAGAATACCTACCAAAGAGAAATGCCAGCAAGAGGTGCATTAATATTAAGGTAGCAGAACTACTCAATCACTGACAGCCACCACTTAGAGCTAAGTGTTCCTGATCTTTCCGAACCTTTCTTGAATCCTCAGGTACTTCAGGATCCCTGAACACATCACATTAATTTGCCCTTCCGTCAGTGACTGAGACAAGAACACAAAAATATGACCTGCAAATAATATGCATTCTGGAATTTTTAACTGCTCTGTTAATTCAACGAAACTTTCAAATATAAGTTTCCATTACCTATCTTGCATTTCTCATTAATTGAGGTCAAAGCAAGGTCTGCAAGTATCTGGTCACAGGCTTGTCAAATTTCCACACATGCTATTGTTGGGCTTCCCTTTGTCTCCTAGCAATAAGGGAATTGTTCATCAATTTGAACAGCATTCAGAGTGAAGTGCTTTTACAGTTATCAAAAACTTCAGCTATTCTGCATTTAATCAGCTGCACAGTGAACATTGGCTTTCTCCTCCCATGACTTGAAATAATAACTCTTGAGTAACTGTTTATTATTTTACCATCTGAACAAGGTCTGGCCCATGTCAGAATGCATCTGTGTCAATCAAGGTAATGAGGTTTGGGTTCCAAACTTGAAGCTTCACCAACAGCCACAATGCAAAAAAAAAAATGCATATAGTTAGCACAACTTGGTTATATTTGGAAAGAAATGTAAACTGTTTACAATATAATGTTGGTCATATATCTATTCTTTTTGGAAAGAAAAGTGCAGTTGCTGTCATCAGTAAAATATCAAGTCAAATATGTTCTTTAGATAATGACTGTCATCAGAAATTTATAAGTACACAGAATGTCCTCATGACAGTAGGAATGTCAATATAGCTTTGTGTTTATAATGTGTGTAGGATTACATGTAACTGTGAATGTTTTTTAATGACATTTTAGGTAATGGTCTTTTTTGTTTTTTACTGAACAAAATCTGGGTTACTCACTTAGCTTCTTGACTAAACTTTGCATATTCCTGTTCCTTATAACAAAGATCTCTGTTCAGTTTTAGATGCTTAGATGTTTTGCATCACCAACTTTTAAAAGTAACTTGTAAGATACTGTATTGTGTAGTGAATGATCCTCCTCACAAAAGTGTATGTTTCAAGCTATGTAATCCTTGTTTCTAATAATGTGTTTCTCCTTTCTCTCCTTTTTGTCTTCATCCACAGAATGTTTTTGTAGATAAACCAGCATTTCCGGAGTATAAAGTTTCTGATGCAAAAAAGTCCAAATTCATACTTTTGCATTTTAGCACTTTTAAAGCTGGCTGGGACTGGCTTATTTTATTGGCAACGTTTTATGTTGCCGTGACTGTACCTTACAACGTTTGCTTTATTGGCAATGACGACCTGTCCACAACTCGGAGCACAACAGTCAGTGACATTGCAGTGGAGATTCTTTTTATTATAGGTAAGAAATGACAGTTGCTTTCCTAGGATATTTGCATTTGGGAAGTGAAGTGTGTTCCAGATTTTTCTGACTTGAATTTGAACTAAGATCCATTTGCATGGGCATGATTCAGC